TTTGCCCTTTCAGTGTATTGTCCATTTTTGATATTCTATTATTAATCGTTTGGACTCTTTCTGTAGGTTTTGAATTGTTTCCAATGCTGTATCTATCTAATTTGATTGTTTCTATAGTGCTTTTCTGACTTCTTTATTTTTCTCAACTCCATTATAGTGTTTTGATATATTTTATAATCATATTTCTGAATTCCTTCTCAGGCATTTCCAAAGCCTGCCCATCTTCCAGTATAGAGAGTAGGTCTACTTCCAGCTTATTTGCCTCAGTCACTTGATATCTCATTTCTGGATATGTGTAGATATGGTCATCTGCTTCTGTTTTTTGGGCATATTCAGGAATTATCTGTGGCCTTAATACTTAGATGGGTGTGTGGTTTTTTTTTTTTTTTTCTGTCTTTGATTGACTCCAGGTAGATGTGATCAAGAAATGGGCTTCTCTTTTCACTCTTCTTCCTGAGAAATTTCAAGATGCCACTGTTGGTTGTTTTGATGTAAGTTAGGATTTAATTTTCGACCTATTTCCTTTTTAGTCTGCCTATTCTGCTCCACAATTCTCATTCAGGTCTTTTTTCTAGTTCTAAACAGTTCAGGGCCAGCCGTGGCCATTTGGTTTTAAGTGGAAACTGTCTCTTTAAATTTCGAGGAGATCTGTGTGCATGTGTAGTAGAACCCTCCAAGTGTGGGGCTGGGGTGTCCACTAGCTCAGACACCCCTATAGTCACCAGAAGGGAGGTGTGCAGACAGCATGGGACCAATGAACAGATACCAAAAGAAAAGAACGTCCATACCTTTATCTGCACGGTTCAGTCAGGCGTCCATGGCTGCTCTGATCCTTTCTCCACTTGGTCTCAACCAAGATGGTGGTTCCTGGAGCAGCTGAGCATCTTGAATTAGAAAGCAATGGATTTCTTGCTTATGCTACAAATTCCATTAACTGTAAGCCTTCCAACCTTCTAAATATTCCTTTATATGTGGTTCAGAGTTCTGACACCATCCCCTGAGCCTGTTTAGTCCTGTATTCTGTGTTATTGCTGACGGAGGAGCTCCTTACTGCATTTCCACCCAATCCGCCATCTTGTTTGTTTTCCTCCCTGATCTTGCCTCTTGAGACAACTTTATGTCCCCCAAACTTAAATAACGTTTACAATGAACACGTTTATTTCTTAGAGAACTTTCTAAATCAGCAGATATATATGAGGCTTCAAAATTTTCGTGGAAAATTTTTACTTTTATTTTTTTCTTGTAACTTCTTGTTGGGAATTGGATGAAGTTGTACAGAGCAGATCATCAGTGTTCGTTTTTGTTTTGTTTTTTTTTTCTTTTGAAGGTCTGGGCATTAGTTATTGAAAGTTTACACACATTTTTTTTTTTTTCCCCTCCTGGCTGTTTTTCAGTCCTCTAGAAGAATCTTGAATGAAGGAGCCAGGAACTCAGGACACATTTTTTGGCAGGTACCTTCAGGCCTAGCAGGATGCAATCCTTCAAGTTGGAATTCTGCTGAGTTATTCCACGGTGACCAATGCGGGAGGTGGAGTGGAAGCCCTCCACAGGCCCCACATCTCATTGCAGACCTCCTCTCTCACCTATCCAAGGCCATTCCCAATTTTAGGACCCTTGTTGTTGTTAGGTGCCATCGAGTCAGTACTGACTCATAGTGACCCTATGCACAGCAGAACGGAACACTGCCCAATTCTGGGCCAACCTCAGAATTGTTGCTATGCTCGAGTCCATCAATGCTGCTGCTTGGCCAATCCATCTCGCTGGGGGTCTTCCTTTTTTTCTCTGACCCTCCACCTTACCAAACATGATATCCTTCTCCAGTGACTGAGGAGCAGCAAAATTAGGCTCACCCACCTCAACAGGGGGAGACCCTTCCATCCATGGTCTGTTTGCACACTCCTGCTTCTGCTGGCCCCGCAGTTGAAGAGAATCAGCCTGCTGGTAAGAGACAGGCTACTTGCTCTCTGTCCCTCCCTAGCCCCACTTCAGCTGGAACACAGGGGCCTGCCTTTGGCTCAGCTATGGACACATCGTTTTCTAATCTTCTCTAAAGGAGAGCTTGAGGCTACCCGTTTGCTTAAACAAACCACTGTGCTCCTGGTCCATCCCATCTGCTGTCGTGCCTTCTGCCAACAGCCAGTGCCCAGGCTGAAGGGTCTGCAGGTCCCAAATAGGGGGCCAAAGCCAGTCTGCACAGGCAGGCACATGGGAGTGGGATCAAGTAGGGTGAGTTAAAATGGAAAAGATGTGGAATAACGGAAAGAGCTTCATTTGTTCGAGTAATGAGAGAGCCGAAGTGATTTCATTTCCTTCACTATTTAAGCCAATCAGGAAATCTCACAGTGATTGCTGGGGTGGGGCAGAGGCATGGCTTTGTGAAGAATTCACAGGACTGTGGACAGGGCGGTCTCTGGGGCAGCTGGAGGACCACTACTGCCCATGTGGCAGGTAGGTAATGGAATGTTTTTTTGGGAGGTGGGGTGGGGAGATGTACACAAAAACACTCAGGAATATATAATAATGGAAACATCCATAGGGCACATTCTGCAAGCCTGCCTTCTGGCCACCAACGCTCAGTCCTTTTCTTTCCGTGAGTCTTGAGTCCTAAGCTGCTCCCTTTCTCCGTGTCTTCAGATAATGATATGTCTTGGTAATTTTCTTTTGGAATGTATCCTGTTTTGGGTTTGTTCATTTTGTATGCTTGTCTTTATGTCTTTTATGATGTTAGGGAAGTTTTCTTCCAACAACTTGCCGACAGTTTTCTTGCTGACAATGGTCACTTCCTGTTCTGGAATTCTACTCTCCCATAAATTGTTTTTCCTTATGGTCTCCCACATAGCTCTTGGCTTTCTTCGGATGTTTTCATTTTTTTCCTGATTGTTCTTCTAACATGGTAGTATTTGAGAGATATTTGGCTTCAAGCTCACTAATTTGGGTTTCCATTGCCTCACATCAACTCTGTTGCCCTTTTAATGTCTTGTCCATTTGTGAGATTTTAGGCTTAACCTTCTGGATTTCTCATTGCAGGTTGTGTATTGTTTCACTATTTGCATTGATTTTGTCTCTTTGTTCTTATAGTGTTTTCTGGATTTCTTCTAACATTTTTATTGTGTTCTCCTTGCTTTCCTTGATCTTTCTATTATTCTTTGAATTTATCAAATTATCAGTCTCCTGAATTCTTTTTCAGTTAGTTCTATTACCTTATCTTTCTCAGAAACTTCGTTTGGCTCTGCATCTTGGTCGTTTCGTTAAACCATTCTCTCTTGTTTCTTTCTTTGTGAATTAAAATGGTCTGTTGTCTCTGGGGCATAATTAAGTTGTTATATTCATAAAAACAAACAGTGTGTCTGTTAGACCCGAAGAGGAAAAGTCTATGGTGGGTCCTTCAATTCAAGGGGCTCACGAGGTGGTTGTGGAAGGGATGTGCCAGAAGAGTTCCTGGCCCTCGCTGGAGTTCCGATTGACCTCAGTGTTATCTATGTTTAGGACATGCAATCCGGAAATCTGTTCAGTGCACTCAATCAGGAAGCATTTGTGGAGGCTTTTAATGGAGCTGGTTTCAGTGTCTGTTAGGATGACAAGGCAGCTGGGGGCAGGGTGACTGGTTAAATGCTGATCTGGTAGCTCTGCGGCTTTTGTAGGTCTGGAGCCAAGCCCACCTGAATCCAGGGACCAAAGTGGCCTACCACCTCACGTTGGTGTGGTTCTGAACTCTCAGAGAGTAGGCTCTACACTTGGGGTGGTTGGAGGTGGGAGCTGCCCACACCCCTGATCACCAGGGGAGCATGGGGAGAATGAAGAAACTGCCCCTTTTCCGCCGTCCGCATGAATGTCAAGGCGCCACACTCCACTGCCAAAGTTGCTCACGAGATGGTCAAGCCGCGTCTGGCCAGCCATTTTCTAGGAAGTCCCTTCCTCTCGCCATCCCTGCACAGCCTCTCCTCATCCCTGTATGGCCTCTCCTCCCAGCAAGCACTCCATCCGCTTCTCTAACCTTTCTTCTGAAGCTCAGGGTGCCACTATTTTCATCTGTGTCTCTTTTATTTTGCCTCTCGAATCACGCTTGGTAAAGTGGTTATAGTTAAGTGTTAGTGAATTGGTTACTACTCCAAGTGGCCCCATAAAGGGTTTCTGAGGAGCTACTGGTGAGCTTGGACTGCCGACCTTGCAGTCCAAACTGACTTTGCAGTCCGGTGCATTATCCTGCGCTACCACACCAGGACTCCTTGGTAAAGTGGAGGGTCGGAGAAAAAGAGAAAGACCCTCAACAGTGACAGCAGCATTGGGTTCAGGCTTAGCAACAATTGTGAGGTTGGCACAGGACCAGACAGTGTTTCATTATGTTGTGTATAGGGTTGCTACACATGGGTAATGACTCAGTGGCACCCAACAACAACAACTGCATCTTTGTTTTATAGGTTCCCTCTAGTGTGTCTGCCTAGTCCACCATCTTGCAAGAAGTCTACCAGACGATCTTTTTTATAATTTTGAGTTTCATTCCACATTATCTCCTTCTCTATCTCAGACCTTCTAAAGTGACCCCTCTCCGAGCCAGTGGTAGTGATAGCTAGGTACCATCTAGCTCTTCCAGTCGCAGGGTCATGGAGGCTGATGTTCGTGTGACCCATTGGTCCTTTAGACTAATCCCAAGTGTCTTCAGTTTTCGACACTCTTCCTTCTTCTCCATATGGCGAGACCATTTGTTTGCGCCTCACATGGCCGCTCATGAGCTTTTAAGAATCCAGTTGTTACTCACCAAAGTAGGATGTAGGACAATGTCTTTGTTGTTATGCCATGGTATCCCCTGAGATTGTGGTTCTAAGCCCCTAAATACAGCAACTTGTGCCTCAAGATGTTTGGTAATGTGTAAGACATGCTCATCATTGTGCCCCCTGTATGTACCACCATATTCCGAGGTGTGTTTTCAGCAAAGGTAAATGCCCATCTGTCAAAACTCTCTGTCAAACTCTTAAACATTTGTGGGGCTCCTCCCAGTCTCCCTCCCAGACCATTCAGCCTGTGTATTGACCTGTAGAACACAGTTGTTGCAGGGTTGTGTATTGACCTGCATTCCTCCCTATGCGTTCACCTGTCTTCATCATTCTTCCTCCAACCTCCGTCTTCTTGTCTATTGCTTTCTCTGTCCCCTGAGTTACGTGCCTCCCCTCTAGACAGTGAATTGCTCTCCCTTCCTTCCCAACCCTGGTAACCATCAAAGAATGTTTCTTCTAGAATGGGAACCTTTTCTTGCATTTTTACACTGGTGGTCTCATACAGTATTTGTTCTTTTGTGATTGACTAATTTCACTCAGCAGAATCTCCTCCAGATTCTTCCATGTTTCATTCCAGTCTTCCACAAATTGGTTGAATCCCGCTTGTACGTCCGCCTTAGGCTTTTGAGTGGCTGTGTGGTGTTCCAGTATAAGAAAGAAGCATACTTAGGAAGTCTTTTTTTTTTTTTTTTGCTGTTTCAAGTGATGCTCCATTCTCCAGTCTTCTTTGAATCTATGTCTTTGCCTCAAAGTGAGGAATTTATCTGCAGTATAAATCCCCAGAGTAATCCTGTGTCCAGAGAGACATGTTTTGGTCATTTTTATTGGCCAAATTATTCTCCAGAGAACTTGCTTCAGTTTATTCTTCTAACAAATGGACAGGACTGGTTTTTCTTTTCTCTGTTCAAATCACTGTTGGTGGTTTTTTCTCACTTTTTCCATCCCGATGTCTGTTTCAAATAAAAGAAAAGCGCTATCATGCCCTAAGTTGTAATTGCCCCTTTGGGAAGCTCTTTGAGGTAATAAGCCCTCTCCAGAAGAATTCAATTGTACAGTGAGGAGCGAGTAAAAAAATCTGTTATTGCATAGTCTGCCAATACTAGTGACTGAAGCTGCTCCGTTCTTAGGAAACTTAGCTTTTGAATATTCCTAATTGTCACCTTTCTGTAAGTTAAACTGTCTCAGATTCCTAAGAGTCTTCTTGAAAGTCAGATTCTGCATTGATAGTTGTCAGCTGCTGTTGAGTTGCTTCCGAATCACAGGACCCCAGCGTACAACAGACCCCACCGCTGCCTGGTCCTGCGCCATCCTCACGGTCAGCGTTACGTTTGACCCATTGTTGTACCCTCTGTGCTAATCCATCTTGCTTGTGGGGAGGTCTTCCACGTTTTCACTGACCTCCCACTTCATCAAGCATGATGCCCTTCTCCAGGGACTAAGCCCTCCTCAAAATATGTCCAAAGTGCGTGAGATGAAGCCTGGTCATCTTCTCTTCTAAGAGACTTTCTATTTTTTTTCTTCACATTTGACAGAAATGTTATTTGAAGAGGTTATGGAAGCAGCAGTCAACACATCCAGTTGCCCTGCCTCGTTGGAAAAATCGCCTCTTTAAAGTTCTGACTATGGCTGTCTTGCTTCTAGGACCGATGGGTTCGTTGTCCCTGCACTCCATGGTGTTTTCAGCATTGCTCACTACTTTCAATTGGTCTTGGGCAGCAGGTTTCACCAGTGAAATGCATCGATTGATTTCTTGACTGCTGCTTCCATGCGTGTCGGTTGTGGATTCAAACAAAGTGAAATCGCTCACAACTTCAGTCTTCTCTCCATAAGTCAGTGTGTTGTGTAGCATATAAAAAGCATCAGCACTGTTGGTAATGCAGAGAGACACCCCTTTACCCCTGTTGGTCATTGACCAGCATCTTATGGGGTGCCTGCATCCCAGTCCTGCACTCAGATGCCCACGTAGTGCACGGACTGCCTCCTTACCCTCTCTGGATGCATCTTTAACCAGACCTGTATTTTAAATGTGTAGTCTTTATTGGTTTTTCATTACTTAAGTCCATGATTTGGAAACCATGTGAAAACACATTTTAAAAATTGGCACTGGTGATGCTTGCAAATTTGGTCCCTGGAAGGGTTTTGACACGTGGTTAATGTTAACATTGCGTTTGCACGCACGGTTCCTGCATTAGTGTTTTGGAGAGCTGGGTTAGGTGAAGACCCCACAGCACATAGCATGGCCATGTGCGCGAGCCCATGAACTCCGCAGTGTTAAGGGCTCTGCTTTGGGGCCACGGGGAGGCGCGTTTCCTAAGTAGACTCTTGTTTTGTTGCAGGCCTCCCAATCCCTTTTGGAATCATCTTTGGTGGCACAGATGTAAATGAAGACGTTCACCAGCAGGAAAAAAATGACGTGATGGAGAAGGTTCTGGAAGAAGCCAGGTAATTATATGAGAGTCTCCCATGGCCTCTGACTCCAACCATCCGGGGTCACAGGGCGAGAGCCCCGCCAAAGGACACCATCATTTCCACTGTCTCCTCTAGGGTGGCCACTCCCAGATCTCACCGAAAGACCTATGTCCACAGCTTCATTTCAGACAAAGGACGCAGATTAGGGTCAACCCGAGAGAGGGTTCTGCCAGGGGCCCAAGTGCATACTGTCCCCCATGGCGTTAGGCGCAGAGCTACTGTTTGCAGCGCTTCTTTTGGGCTTTCATTAAGTAACCACGGCTGTCTCTAGCCCCTCCCCTCCCATGGTCACCTCATGTATAATAACCGCCCGGTATGGGTAGAGAGGCCCACCATGGCTCACATTGTCACCCCCCTCATGGGAGACCACCCCAGGGCTTAGTGAGGACTTCCCCGAGTCCTAGTGTGATGCTGTAGGATGAGTACTCCACTGCTAATCTTGAGGTTGGCAGTTCAACCCCACCAGCTGTCCCTCAGAAACCCTATACAGCGTCGCTCTAAGTCAGAACTGACTTGATGACACCAAACAGCAGGTGGGCACCTCCCAGGCACTGGGGACAAAGCCAGCCAAGTTCTTTGGGTAGCATTAATTTTTCACAAAAATTTAAACCAGAAAAAATTTTCAAATCCTGAGAAGCTGTGCTTTGTGAGGTACGCATCTCACCCAGGTAAAACCCATTTTAGTCTGTTTCCCTTTTATATGACACGCTCTCCTTTTGGCTCAGATCATCATGACCAACAAGTGATCAATTCTTCACCTACAGCTCTCACCGGGTACATGCTCTTAGAATGCTCTGCTTGCTAGAACGTCAGAATCTTGTTTTATTACAGTCTTAGTGGCACAGTACTTCACTGCTCAGCTCCTAATGGAAAGGTCAGCGGTTCAAACACACCAGCTGCCCTGTGGGAGTCATGGGAGGCTTCCATAAGGATTTACAGCCTTGGAATGCATGGCTTAGTTCTGCTCTGTCCCGTGGGGGGCGCTATGAGCCAGAATTGACTCAATGGGATTTGGAATAGTTTAGGATAAGTCCAGCTCTCGCCTCTTAGCAAACAAACCGGGACCCCTTGTGTGCCAAATTTGCTGGGGTAGACTTTGGGCTGGTCCCTCTCAGGACACTTTCTAAGCTGTGTCCAGAGCTGTGGCCCAGTCCTTGTCAACATGGCTCTCAGCACCCCTGAGTAGAAGGGCCCTGGTGGTGTTACAATCAGTCACTCAGCTTCTAACCAAAGGTCAGCAGTTCAAACCCACCCAGCGGCTCTGCAGGAGACAGCCCTGGTGATCTGCTCCCATAAAGACCACAACTTAGACACCCCTGTGGGGGCGACTTTGCTTAGTCATTTGGGATAACACATGACAACCAAAAATCTGGGCCAGAGAATTGCTGTCACAAGTGTGGTTGGGCGTCCTCCAGACCCAGGGTCTTACTCTCACCGGGCTCGGGCTGCCCCAGTGTGACGACCTTACATTCCTCCATGTGTGTTTAATTCACTGGGCTGGGGCAGAGCTGCTGCCCTCGTGAGAACTGTGTCCATGCTGGGCTTCCCAACTTCCTTCCCCTTCCTAAAAATCTGTTGTGAATCGGGTGAAGGTTTACAGAGCAAATCAGTTTTTCATTAAACAGTTCTTACATATTTTGTTTCATGTCATTGGTTGCATCCCCACAATGCAACTGCACTCTTCCCACTTCCTCCCTGTAGTTCTTTCTGTCCCTTCTCCTTTCCCCTAATCCTTTGGAACTGTGTCTTTGAGAACACACTGCCCCATTGATCTCATGTGATAGTTTATTTTAAGGAGCTTATTGCCTGTTGTTAAGCTGAATGTTGAGCCCCGGGGGGTGAGTTCAGTTCTGGGCCTGCACATTGGCTCAGGGCCACAGGGACTTCACCAGTGAGCCTGGTTTCCTGTCTCTCCAGGACCTGCTGTACGATCCCTTTGCAAACAGGGGTCCAGGTGGTCAGTTCTTCTGCTCCCAGGCTCATGGAGGCCGAGGTTCCTTTGTTTCATTAGTCCACCAGACTGTTTCCCTCTGTCTTCGGTTTTCTCCTCTTTCTCTGGACAAGGAGAGACCAGCAGTTCCACTGCAGATGACCACTCACCCCAAGCCTTTTCTTGTCCCGACACACTCAGGAGTGAGCATATATGCACGGCATGATGGGAAGACTTGGCGGGCAAAGAATTGCTTTACTTTCTTTGCATAACAAATTGTTGTTGTCGTCAAGTGCCGTTAAGTCACATTTGACTCATAGTGACTGTGTAGGGTTTCCAAGGAGCAGCTTGTGGGTTTGAACCACCCACCTTGTGGTTCGCAGTCCAGTGCGGATCCTACAGTGCCATACCAGGTCTCTGTATAACTGTTGTTGTTGATAAGTACCGTGGAGTAGGTTCTGACTCATAGTGATCCTACACAGGGTTTCTGAGGCTGTAAATCTTTATGGGAGCGGAAGCTTCATCTTTCTCCCACAGAATCTCTGGTAGTTTCAAACTGCTGACCCTGAGGTTAGCAGCCCTATTCGTAACCGCTATGCTACCAGAGCTCCTTCCATATAACTATTAGAGTTGTTATAATTAAGATAATAATGGTATTAGGGAAACTAATCCCATTGTAATTGTTGTTGTGAAGTGCTGTCGAGTTGCTTCCAACTCATAGCAACCCTGGATAGGGTTTCCGAGGAGTGGCTGGTGGGTTTGAACCACTGACCTTGTGGTTTGCAGTCCAGTGCAGATCCTACAGCGCCATACCAGAAGTCCTCTTATATGTCCTATAAAAGTTGTACATAAGAGAGTTAATTAACTGAAAAAGGAAAACTGAGTGTACGCATGTAGACAAAACTAAGAGCCATTCTGATAGTAGGTAGCTGAGGATGGTGGGGGGCTCCACAGGGTGGGCTGGGAGGGGCTGTGCCCGTGGTCCCTTAGAGCATTCGCTGTAGGCTGACGGTGTGGAGCAGTCTCTCCTACCAACAGAACCACCTGGGATTCTACGTTTACTGAGGAACCTGTTGTTAAGCACCCTGAGTGGGTTCCAGCTCCCAGCGACCCTGAATATAGAGCGGTTGGTGGGTTTGAACCGACCTTTTCCTCCAGCACTACTCCAGGACTCAACTCCTCACTTGGAGTATTTTACTTTCCTTCCACTTGTAGAAAATGTTTGTAACTTCCCCCAGCCCCCCAAGTAAAGGAAGGTAATCCATTTTTAGTCTAACAAATGGCCAGCCGTCCCTTTCTGTGGGTCCTCTAAGCACTCGTGACTGTGACATGCTGGGCTGGGAACTTTTCATGCCTTTCTGTGACCAGATGATTCCACACTCGGCCGAGGACAGTATTCTAGGGTCTGGTGCACAGCTGAAGGGTCCTCCTTTGTGTCTGCCCGGCCCTTTAAAGTAGTGTGATGGGAGAGACACTGCATTTCAGACTGTGCTTTCTCCTGGGAATGATGTTGTATTCATTGTCAGGAAGAACATATCCACATCAGTCATGAGGTACAACGCTGTCTGTGATAGGTTAATATCTATGCACCTACAGGGAAGCCCAGTTAATACCACTATTATTCAAATTTATGCACCAACCACTAAAGCCAATAAGGATGAAATAGAAGAATTCTACCAACTTCTTCTTTTTTTTTTATTTTTTAATGTTTTATTCTGAATTGTGTGGTAGTTTACATGGTGGAACAGTAGTTTTACATTCATTCTATCACACATCGTTTCATTGCCATAGTGACCATCCCGTCCATCCATCATCATCCAACCGAAGGGTATACCCTTGTTGCCTGCCCCTCTCCCCGCCCCCCCCCCCCCCCCACACCATCCTCAGCACACAACCCCTCTCCCTCTCTGAATCTCAAGTCCCCAGCCACTCCATCTCTTCACGTCATCATCTCTGCCTCCATCTCAGGCCTCACTGCTTCTCTGGGTAGGGTCCCGCTCTCTGCCCTTCTCCCTTGATGGTCCCAGGGAACTCCACTCCTAGACTACAATATTAATCATTCCCCTGCTTGCTACAAAACATCTACCTTTACATTTCTAACCTTCACAATCAGTCTTAATAACAGTTATTCACTATTGTATCACAAGAGACCTATCTGCATTTCCTTTCATCAGCCCTGCCTAGACAGATCGGATATTACTCAATGGAGAGTCTACCTTCCTCGACACCCTCTGCATCTACGTTCCCTTTTGAAAGCTTGTAAGCCAGTCACTTCTTGCCTTTGTAGTTCCCCCACTTTGGGTAGCCAATGTCCAAGTTGCTCATCCCTGTCTAGTCTTTGTGTGTAGGGGGTGGGAATAATTCTTGCAAAGGAAATTTGTTTCCTCTTTTGAGTTACTGCATTTATAGGTGTAGGTCAAGTTTATCAAATTTTATCAGATGACGCTTTTTTCCTCTTCTCTCTTCTTCGGGTTGAGGTCTGTTCATCCAGTCATTGAAGCCAGGTCAAGTGGGTATCATCTGCAAGTGTGAGTGTTCTTACATCTGTCTGCCCTCTTCTTATCAGCTGGCTGCTTCGCTCTCCACTCTGGTCCTCTGTGGCTGTGTCATTGACTCTGAGCCCATGAGTCCCCAGGTCTTGCCTCGCTGCTGGCTGACCACGTCTCCACCCGGGTTCACAGTAGTCTGCTGAACGATGTAGGGCTTAGCTCACCGCTTCATTGATGTTCTTTGGTCACTTCCCCTTTTGGGTGATGTGCGTGGTCGCCAATCAGAGTGTGTATTTCCATTGTGTCTTAGTCTTGGAAGAGGATTTGCACTGAGAGG